ATTCAATTTCTTTTAGTTAAATCATTTTGTACCTAAAATGATTTAATTATTCCTTCCCACCGAAATGCACACTGCCTCTTTTGGGGGAAAAAGAAATTGAAATCCTTAACTTTGATCAAAACAGACTTTTCATCTGTGTGAGCCCTCGTATGTGAAACGGGGAATTTTATTCATTAATGTAAAAGAAATAATAAAGAAATGGTAGAGGGACGGTACATACAAAGCAACAGAATGCTAACAGTACAATAAGAAAAAATGAATTTAACTTATAAAAAATACAAAAAACCAGAAATAATAATCCTCAATTCCATCGGCCCATCATGTGATTCTTCATGTGTGATTTCAAATGGAGTTTCCGCAGGAATTCTTTACCGCATACAATGCAGCTGATTGTCATATTTTGTGATTGAGAGAAATTTTTCTTCCACGCAGAACAACTGTTTCGTTTCTCACCTTGTGTATCTTCACATGTGTACGCATATTCGATGACTGAGCAAAATCCTTCCCGCACGTTTCGCATTTGTGCGGTTTATCACCTGTGTGAATTCTCACATGTGTACGCATATTCGATAAGTGAGCAAAACCCTTCCCGCATGTTTCGCATTTGTACGGTTTATCACCTGTGTGAGTTCTCTTATGTAAACGCAGATCCCATAACCTTCTGAAATCCTTCCCGCATATTTCGCATTTGAATGGCCTATCACCAGTGTGAATTCTCACATGTTTCTTCATATCCGATGGCTTACCAAAACCCTTTCCGCATGTTTTGCATTTAAACGACTTCTTAGGTGTGTTAGTCGTATGTTTTTTTTAGCCTTGAGGTTTCCTTTTGAAGGGATAATGTCTTCGGATCAATTGCTATACCTGTTTGTTCCTTACTCACTTCTTGAACTGATAGGTTCAACGGTCTTGCGTCATTCTGATCAATTTCGCTGAGTTCTACTTGTCTCCCACTTACCTCTGGCGCTGATAGGTCTGATGGTTCAATCCGTTTCTCAATAATTCTTGTCCTTGACAAATCTAACGATTCTCTTTGCAGCTTCACAAATTTGTGAATTCCCATATATGTTCTTGACATTGACAAATCCAACGGTTCTGTTTGCGGTGATAAATCTGATGGTCCAATCCGTCTTTCAATCATTCTTGTCATTGACAAATCCAACGGTTCTGCTCGCGGCTCCTCAAATTTTATGAAGTCGTCAATTTCAAACTGCGCTGAAGGTTTGAAATCTTAGAAATATTGTAGTGCTATCTTATATTCTTTAACTTTAAATGAACTTACGATGGTTTGAGTGTAACTCAGTTGGACGAGGAAGAGAATGAAGCAGATGAAACGCATTTTGATAAGAATAATTTCTTGCCAATTCTGAAGCAGTTTCGTAAAACTTTTTCAAGTGTATACTGTTCTAAATATACTGGTATTGAAAAGGGATCGGTACGCATTCATTGCGCGTATAATACGAACATCTCCCGTTCAAACATCAAACACGACAAATTATTTATGTTGGAGATTGATCTCAAGCATTCCAAAGCAGATTTCTGCAAACTTGCACAATTCCAAATTTGATAAAACGATAATTTTGTTTAATAAAGAAAGTGCTCATGTTGGAATCCTAAAGTCGCATGACGCAGAACTTTAAAAAGCAATTGGCATTCTTCGTCGAAATAAATGAAACGGAACTTGCTAAACGAAATTTTATGAAGACAGTTAGATAGATACTACCCAGCAACTTCTGTATGCTATTGGCAGGGGATCGCGTATATAAATGCTAATTTTGATGGGAGTGGCTAGCCACGTGTATCGATAACCTATAGTAATGTAATAATAACAATCACTTTTAATCCTTTATACTTTAACCCTTCATGAATAATTTCAATTCAATTGCCATATTGTATTGTGAGAAATAATTTATGCAAAGCCCTTATAAGTTTTTCATTTCGCTTCAATTTTTTTTTCGGAAATCATTTTTAGTAAAATTTTCCAGCAATGCCAGTCAGATTGATTTGACAAGGAAAATTTAAATTGAAATTGTAAACTGAAATTGTAAATTGTGATAAACTGCAAAATCCAAAGATTTGCTCATTTCTCGACATTAATTTATGAAAATTAAAGTATTACACGTTTTTGTCATTAAATATGTTAATCATTACAGATACATATAATATTTCAATTATCATAAATTAACATCGAGAAACGAAATTCCAATGTTTTGGTTTATTCCAATTTGCTGTGAAAGTAATGCGTGCATGTTACACTACATATCATTCAGTAATAATAGAACTTGATAATATTACTCTATCATTTTCTCTGATAATATTACTCTATCAAAGTATAACGTGACATGTAATTAAAAAATGTCCATCAACTCAATTTTTTACTTTTTTTAGAAATATATTCTATACTTCCAATGTGATAACGTCATGTTTGCTGAGAAATGTTCGAAATGTAATTCATCTTCTGTTAGCCTAGAGTAAAATTTTGCCATATATCACCCAATCATTTCTGTTGAAGACGCATGCATAAATATTAATTTTGTTGCGAGTGGGTAACCATGTGTGTCGATAGCCTTTGTTCACGTACAGTAATGTAAAAATAGCAATCACTGTTTAATCCTTTATATTAAATAATTTCAAGCTTTATTTCATTTCGCTTCAATTTTTCCAAACTTTCGAAATTGAGCGATATTAACCAGAGGAAAAAAAAACTATATTGCTTCATCACTTGTAATTAATGCTTTTAATTGATACATCCTGAATAATATCATGAAATCTTTTCTTCTAACTCCATATCCGTTCTAAAGCTTTGTTTTGAAATTGGTTAGTTGTGGGTGTTCGTGTGCGTGTGTGTGTGGCTAAATTAGATTATTTTTTAATTTTTTTTTTGTTAGATATTTTATACAAATTAGTTCGTCATAATATTGAAATAGATTCAATGTTGAGATAGGTTTTGATTAAAATTAAGAATTTAACTTTTTTCTTTGACCTTTTTTTTAAAAATTGAAGTGAATATATTTCTGAAAGAGAGAATGATTAAATCGTCTTAGGTCACTGAAAGTTTCAGGTTTTTTTTCGATATCATGAAAGTTTTCCAGAACGATGAATAGTCTCACACATTTTATATTCTCATTAATCCAAAACACTTGAATGATAGTTTTTTGGACAACAAACATGAAAATTCTCATCCGAGTGTTTTGCATCAATGCAAATTTTTAAAAAATCCCCAATTTGATTACTGTCAAAGATCACTGATCGTGTTGCACATCAGCGAACACTCATTTCCTTCTTTTTTAGGCCGTCTTGCTTAAAATATAACAAGGTTATTGTCAACTTTGATCAGTGTGTTACCGATCTCATGTATTGATTATTGTCAAAAATCACTAATCACTAACAAATACACATACAAATTCTCATCCAAGTGTTTTGTACTTGAGTGAATTTCTAAAAAATCTCTAACTTTTAGGCTATTTTGGTTAAAATCTGAAAAGATTTTTGCTATTTCTGACCGGTACATTGTCGATTTGATATATTGACTACTATCAAAAATCACCATTCTCGATCTAATATACTGATAACTGAAAAAATCATCTAATATACATATATATTGATCACTGAAAACAAAAATTATATATAAATAAGCAAATACAAAATGTGTGAGACTATTCATCTTACTGAATAACTTTCAAAATGTGTAAGCAAATTTAAGAAGCAAATATCACTTTCAATGGAATTACACTGATTATTTTCATACCAACTATTACTGGAGGAACACCGAAATTATATAAATGTTTAAATTATATAAATGCTCACTTTTGCTCTTCAATCGTAGTTTTTTTTTTTTTTT